TGATCCAGTTAATCCAAATCGAATGGAAACCCATCTTTGATAACAATGCTTCAAGGTAATTCCACTCAACTCTATCATATGCTTTTGACATGTCTGTTTTGATAGCTATGAAATCAGACTTGCATCGAGGGTTAGTCTTCAGACCATGAATCATCTCATGCGCAACCAACAGGTTATCAGAGATGAGTCTTCCCGAGACAAATGCCCCTTGCGCCGGAGAGATAATGTGAGGCAGAACATACTTTAGCCTCTCACATAAAATCTTAGAGACAATCTTGTACACCACCGAGCAAAGGCTTATTGGCCAGAGATCCTTCATCTGATTAGGGTTCTTTTCCTTAGGAAGCAAGCAAAGTTCTGTGAAATTCCAGTCTGAGGGTAATTGACCAAGATCAAAGAAATTCTTCACTTCCTGCGTTACTTGCTGACCAACAATCAGCCAGAACTTTTGAAATAAGTGACCTGTCATCCCATCCACTCCTGGTGTACTATCGCTCTTAATATCTTTGACAGCTCTCTTGATCTCCGCAGGAGAAACCGGCTTAACCAAATCCATGTTCATATGATCAGTAACACGTTGTGTCATCCCCTCCAGCAGTTCAATAGCATCAGCCGACCCATTGGATTGGAACAGATTTGAAAAATAATCAACTGCAATTTTTCCTTTCATATCTTCTGTAAAATGTTCAGTCCCTGAACTATCCATCAATGAATGAATCTTTTTTTTCATCTTCCTTGTTTCCACCCAACCATGAAAACCCTTAGTATTCTTGTCACCCACACATAGCCAGGAATTCTTGCTTTTCTGTTTCCAAAAGGCTTCTTCCTCCTGAAAAGCTTTTTCTAACTCTAGACGCACCTCTGGTAATCTGGAGAGATTAGGTCTTGCTTTACTTTCTTCCACCTCCAGCTCCCTGCGTAGTCGAGTAATATTAACATTAGAGTTCACATGAGCAGTCATTTTCCATTTGGATAATTCATGCCTGCAGGATTTGATTCGTTCCGAGACTGAACTCAAGTTAGAACCCCCCCCCCCCCAAAGAATTCCATCCTCTGTTCACCACTTCATGAATTCCAGGTTTTTGGCTCCATCTTTTGTCAAACATGAACCGTCCTGTCCTCTGGACTTGCGATTCATCCAGGCTAGTAAATACAAGCCTATGATCTGAACCAGTCTTCTCCAAGTAACAAGAGTGCGAACCTGGAAATAATCGGAACCACTCTGTATTCCCAAATGCCTTATCAAGCCTGCATTGTATTAATACGGTTTCCTTGATCCCATTATTGATGATCTCTCTCGTGTCAGACCAAGAGAAAGTGTTCCCAGAACTCGGAATTTCCTTGAGTCGACAATCCATAAAACGACTTTTTTAATCTTCTTGGACCGCCTAGTTTCTCTGAATTGTTCATCAATTCATTAAAATCCCCAACTAGAAACCAGCCTCCATTCCTCTGCAAACCAATATCCTTCAAAAAATTCCAAACCAGAGCTCTTCTTTGTTGTACATGATCAACATACACAAAGGAGAGATAAAATGTTTTAGATCCACACTTCACCTTCGTGTCAATGATACGATTCATAGCTAGCAGAACCTCTACTTCAAAATTATCCTTCCAAAAAAAAGCTAAACCTCCACTAAGTTCCACTGGATCCACCAGAAAACAATGGTCATAACCCTACGAACTTTAAAGCTTCGCTACATAATCACTAGAGTTTTTAGTCTCTAGGAGAAACAGAAAATCCGGAAGATGTACACGGCACAACTCTTCAAGGCGTCGAACTGTCAAGTTGCTTCTCAATCCTTGACAGTTCCAACTGAGCGTCGTCATTGAGGATTGGATGGTTTCTGGTGAACCATCAAACCCGTTGTTGTCTTAGATGTTTTCGAAGTAACTTCGACCTCCTCCTCCGCCTTTCTCTTCAGTTGACTCTCCACCTCATCATTCTCACGTTGTTGACATTTAGATTGAGATGATATTTGACCCTTACGTTTCCATGAGGATGCCTTTCTCTTGTTACTTTTGATGTTTCCAATCTTACCGCACTGCGTCTGAAAGTAGCAGCCGATCTCAAAGTTCCTTTGCTCAACAAGAACATTTGTACCAAAAGTATCTCCCTCATCTTGTAATGTCTCTCCACCCTGCACACTAGATCGTCCAACTTTTCCAGTAGTTGAGAGATTCTGGAACCTAGGGGGCCTTGGTTCAGATGTAGAGCTCATACCCGGACCACCTGCAATCACCAGCTGATTTTTAAGGCAACCTTTAATCTGTGGTGTTTCTGTATGACTGGAGGATTCTCCAACCTCCAAGAATTCTCCTTCTTCAACCTGCCTGTAACCCAACACCAGCCCTTTGTTTCTGTTATGAGTATTGGAAATGACAGGTGCTTCTTCAATACGTAAGCCAGCTCGCTGAGCAATAGAGTCTTTTGATAACTCCTCCAAGTTTTTCTTCATTCGAAATTTCCTAATTCTTCGCTCCTCAGGGTGTATACAATTCATGTAAAGTTGCATTTGTTCAAAAACTTATGGAGCAATGAGACCAGTAGGAGGCATGAAACCTGGAGGCACAGTCGGTGACAGCAAAGGCATCACATCCTTCACTAAGTTTGGATTGTGTTGTCTCTGAGATAACCTCAGCATACTCGCTGTATTAACTCCACTTCTGATTGTTGTATTTGCCACTTGCTTGCCTTTCGATAGAGGACAGAACTTCTTCTCATGTGACAACGGAAGCAAATAGAGCATTTCTTTCTATTATGCTCATACTCAATCTCTAACACCGCCGAGCCACCTTCCTTTGGTAGTGTCATAGTCTTCTTCTCCCTTATCGGTACGCTTAGATCTAGAACGACCAAGACCCTAATGTAATCCTGGAGTAGAGGTTTCTCCGGATCCCATTCAATCTCTTTCACATTTCCAATCGCTCATGCGACCCTATCAATCGTTTTGATAGTAAGATAGTTGACAGGGATGTTGAAGATCATGATCCAGACCGCTGCCGTTTGTAAAAAGTTGTGTGGAGGGATCTCCACCCATCTTTCTAACACCATTCCCAGTCGTCAAACGTCCAAAACCCATGTTTTAGAACCGTCTTCAAATCAGATTCTAGTTCAAAGATGAACTGAAATCTTTCCTTGGATAGAGCGATCCCCCTCACCCTTTCATATACCTTCCAAATCTTCGGCATAGTACGTAACATTCGAGCCATATTCTGAGAAACTGGATTCAGAAAACGACCCAAGAGACTAAGATTACTCCTCTGAATAGCACTGAAATCATCATCTTCCGGTAATACAATCGGAACATCCTCCTCCAAAGACATCCCTTGCAATACTCCAACCAAGATATCGTCCATTAAGAACAGAAAAAGGTCTCTACTCTGATAGTTAAGTTTTACAGAAGCTGGATAGGAAGGAGGCGGCGGAAGAACAAACCCTAGATAAACACCGCTTTTGGATGAAGATTGAACAAAAAAAAATATATTTTCCTTGATTCTTTGAGAATTTCCAAAAAAAAATCTGGAAAAGATTCGAAAAAATCCTTTTGCCGGCAAAGGAAATCACTTTCCGGAAGTTAACTCTCCTCTTATTGGCTGAAATAAAATCAGCGGTAGAGAGAGATTTTTGGGCCAAAATCGCCATCAAACCATCGATAACTTATGGTTTTGCAAAGATTTGAATCATTCTCTATATGCTTTCTAAATATCTAATATTCTTTTTCTGGTTATTACATAAACTAGTGTGTTTCCCGGGCTACGCCCGGGTTTCTTATTTATAAATCATTTGTTATAGTTGTTTTGAAATGATATAATAAAATTTATAGTCATACATTAAGAAAATATGACTTTGGTGACATATATTTCAAATAAGCACAACTTAGTATAAGAATGTATAAGAAATCAGATTTGTTTTTGCTAAACAAAAACTTTCAACAATTTAACTTTTTTTTTTCTTATTTGTAATTTCAGATTCTTAAAATTATCTTTATTCCGGTGTGCACATCAACTCTTTCCTACATGAACACATCTGTGTATTTTCCATATATCTCAACATTGTAGTTAATCACGACCCCATAATTTCAAAACAAATGAAAAGTGAATTAAGTTAAATTAAATAATATCCAACCAAATCTCTATATCCTTTTCACATGGTTATAGGACAAAACATATTTAAGATTCTCTCACCAGAATCAATGGAGCTAGCACGTCCAATTGCTGCTTCCCCAAAATCAGGATCGAAAAGTTATTTGATCATTGAATCATCTGACTTGATGAGGGACATATTTCACCTTGAAGCTAGCTGGCATGAAACTTTAAACCTGATCAGTGGTTTTCTTCCTGGACTATGAAAATCCATGGTTTTCTCCCAATTCTGATCAATAGTAAGCACTACATCAGCTCGTAACAAACCAAATAACTTGAAGATGACAATGTTTTCATTTATATATTTCATATTATTATTAGTATTATTATGAGACATAACCAGATAGCATTTGGAGATCAAAATTTTAAAAATAGAATATTCAATTTTTTATGTTTTAACTTTTAACCAATTTTCCTTAATTATGATTTACTTATCCATAACATAATAGTGAATATTATCAAGTGTTAATCGATCAAAGAAAAATCAAATGATTGCTGACATAGCTTCTAAAAGAAGATTTTTTGTAGTAGTGAATTATTATTATTATTATTATTATTATTATTAGTAGTAAATTACTCATCAATTTACTATTTTACACCAACAAATTAAGATAAAATAAATAAATAAATAAATAAATAAGAATAGAAACATGTGTATAAGTCTCTTTAGTTACAAAAGAAAATAAAAGAAGTATGTATGTAACGTCTCTTATAACAGATCCCACCCAAATATAACCAACATTTTTTTTCTGAAAAAAAAAGCATTTAGCTGTGGTATAATAAGTTAGCGTTGTGCTCTTATGTGCGTAACTTTCATTGTAAGAGGTGAACCAGAGTCCTAATTATTTGCCAAGCAGAATTTTTCAGAGCTCTTATATATACCTGAAGAATATATGGTAAAATACAGATTTGTGACATGTATAAACCTTACATGTTAAGAAATGTACATTCTTTACATTATATATATGCTTCAAAGCTTCCGGTGACAGTTGTATTTTGCCTTTAAAGATAAAAACCTCTTTATCAATGAACTAAAACAAAACGTTTTTTCACTTCTCTTCTTTATTCTTCAAGGTAGCCTCCAAAGCTAAACACCCAAGAACCTAATCAGTTGTCTGGTCATAACTTCACAAGAAGCTCCTTAATGCTGGCTTCTTCTTCTTGTCCATTTCTTCGTTTCTTCTTCCACTGAAACAAAAATAATCGTTAAATTCAGAGCAGATGAAAAAGACGAAGAAACTGGTAACTGCAACAGCAGAGTTTATGAGAGTTTAAGAAGAAGAAGAAGAAGAAGAAGACATGTCTGCAAAAATTTTGCATAACTTGTCAGATGAGAACCCAAATGTGAATAACAGTTTGGATGCATGAATGTGATCTTTCAAGTGTTTTACCGGCAACAATATCCGGCAAGACCAGTCTCTGACGATGTAGAGAAGTCTCTACCTCCAGGTAACTTAAATACTCTTTCTAAATCTCAGTTCAGTGTTTAGGACCACAAAGAAGAAACAGAGTTGTTTCACCAGAACCAAGAACTACAGGTTAATAAGTGGCTCATTTTGCAGGAGGAAAAAAAGAATCATGTTGGTAAAGTTAACATGGAAAGTGATGAAGAAACGGTAAGAATCTAAACCCTTTGTTCATCTCTGAAAAATGAGAATTCGGAAAAAGAAAGACTTATAAAAAACAGATACTTTTATGGGAATAGCAGGGGAGGAGTACCAAGAAGAAGAAGGATAAGCATACAGTCTCTTCTGAATCCTGTTCACGGCCTTCCTTTTCTTCTTCTCCACGCTCCTCAAGCTTCTCGTTTGCAGAAGTCAGTATCACGGCTTCACAGCCTGGTGAGAAACAGATCAGAGAACAGCCCAATGCTGGACCAGTGATGCCCTTTGATATAAAGGACCTTGTAAAATCTTACAATATATAGTTGCTAAGTTTAATAACTGTTTTACTGTGAAATTGACAATTAATACCATTTGGCAATCAAAACCAAAAAGTAAAATTACTATACGTTTACTACCCTAGCACTCACTTCAGAAAAGGCTCTTCTCAACATAAAATGCAGCCTTTAAGTATATATAAAATCTGTAATTAGTATACTCATTCAGTACAATCTTTAATGAAGCTAATGTGGCTACTCAAAAATATTAAGTTAAGCTTATAGCACCTAATTTCTAATACTAAAATCAGAACCGTAGTTAGGCAAAGTTGGTCAGAACATTGATTTTGCATACCTATTATATAAATCATGACTTTCAAACCAAATGTGTGTCGGTCTGGCTCTTCTCATTACTCTTCTGATAAATAAAATGTACTCAGCAGTGTTAACAGCATTTCATTCAATCGAACAAAAACAACATTACTGCTTAAAGTCTAGCCTGAATAAAATAAATGACAGTGAGCTCTTAACCTTGGACACCAGTAAATAAAAGTTTGGAAAAACGTATGCATACCCAAGAAGCTTCAGGCTTTTCTGTCAACAACTTCAACTTGGAAACTGGATCAGAAACTTGTTCCTGCTTCGTCTTCTTATTAACCATCTTCTCGCCTTTAGTTTTCTTAAAAAAAAAAGAACAGATCCAGTTCACTTAGAAGAAGATGTAAGATGCTTGTATAAAAACATTGCTACTAAAAGCACCAAGCTGACCATCCTAAGGATAAAGTGAATGCAACTTGATTTTCAGTTAACCAAGAACAGATTATAGGTGTACCTGAGAAAGCTCTGGTTTCTCAACCTGGAAAGTCTGAGGCTTCTTATTTAAAATCTCCATAACCATATTAAGGTCCCCATCTTTCTTCACAGAACCCAGCTTTGAGAATATATCAGATCTGAATCAAAGAATCAGAAACAGAGACCAGATGTGAATTCAAGAATTTAAAATTAAGAAAAAGGAAGAACCTTTGCATTCCGATTTGCATAAGCTCATCAATAGCGGAATGAAGACTCTCACGCTCCTCCTTCATTCCAATTTTCCAAGAAAAACAAACCAAGAAGTTAGAGTTCTGGAAAGGATCAAGACATGAAACCACATCAAGGTTTGGGCGCTCGATTGTTCATGGCATCGATTACAGCTTCGTGAGTTCCTGAGAGAAGCTTGATTTCTTTCTATATGGCATTGATTGTGACGATCCCACTTCCTCTGCAATCAATCTTCCGAAAGCAAACAACAATGAAACGGAGAAATCGAAGAAGAAGAAAAGTAAGGTTTGCGAAAGGATTATACTTCGCAGATAGGGGAAACGGGCCAGGGAGATTTGAAGCCCAAATGATTAAGGTGATGAGCTGACGTGACAGGAAACTGAACTCCTATTGGCCTGAATATTTTATCTGACGTGGAGGGCCTCCCTGTTGAGGATATGCCCCTTTTAATAGTGTTAGATAAGCCCATTTTAAAAAAGGTTAAAAAAAAGGAAGGCATTTGGACTTGCATAGTGAAATGGGCTGAAGTGGATAAGGCCTTTTATTTTGAGGTTTGGGTAATGTATATTTTTAATGTTTAACCGTCGCCGAAACACAGCAACGGGAATTTCCACGGACGCTTAGGTCACCGAGAGAGAGAGATTAGGAATGGAAGATGATGAGTTGGAAGCTATGCGAGCTCACTTCCCTCTTTCCTTCGGCAAGACTTCCAAGGTCTCCGCGCCTATCGAATCCATCCACAGCGCTACTCGCCGCACCGACGCCGGAGTTTCGTCGGATTCCAAACCTAATTCCGGTAAATCTGAACCCGGATTCCCCTCTCTGTCTTCCTCTTCCAGTTCCTGGATCCAATCTGTTCGCCGTCCCAATCGTAACCCTAAATCTAGTCCAGCTCCGTCCGAAGATGATGTATCCATAGGACCACCACCACCGCCTACGACTCAAGAGGAGGAGGATGACGGAGATATGGTGGGACCACCGCCGCCACCGCCAAAGGGATCCGTTAATGATTCTGATGATGAGGAGGGGGAGGATATGATTGGTCCTCCGCCACCGCCACCGGCTCAGGTAGATTCCGATGAAGATGAGGACGATGTTGATGAGGAAGAGGAGAATCGGTACAAGATTCCGTTGAGCAACGAGATTCAGCTCAAGGGACACACCAAGGTATACTTTAAAACAAATCTTTAATGCTTTTACGGATTGTTAAAATTGGATGTTTTCTTCTTGGAACAGATAGTTTCATGTTTGGCGGTTGATAATGCTGGAGCTAGGGTTCTCTCTGGTAGCTATGACTATACTGTTCGTATGTACGATTTTCAAGGGATGAATTCTAGACTACAGTCTTTTAGGCAGATTGAACCATCTGAAGGTCATCAAGTTCGCAGCTTGAGCTGGAGTCCCACTTCTGGTCAGTTTCTTTGCGTTACTGGCTCTGCACAAGCTAAGGTGTGTGTTTCATTGTATTCAAAAAGTTTCTCTTTTAACTTCTTGTATTGATTGCTCACATTCAACGTTTGTATTTTCTGAGTTTCCAGATTTATGATCGTGATGGTCTTACGCTTGGTGAGTTCATGAAAGGGGATATGTATATCCGTGATCTTAAGAACACTAAGGGCCACATTTGCGGGTTGACTTACGGAGAATGGCATCCTAAGAATAAGGAAACCATTCTTACTTCTTCTGAAGACGGGTCTTTGCGTATTTGGGATGTTAATAACTTCCTCAGCCAAACGCAGGTATGTTTTTCCTTTTATCTATAACAACAATCAGTATCTTGGTGGGATTATAGCTTACTATTAACATAATTACTTGGACAGGTTATTAAGCCCAAGCTTGCTAGACCGGGGAGGATTCCAGTTACGACTTGTGCTTGGGATCGTGAAGGAAAGCGTATCGCTGGTGGCATAGGAGATGGATCTATTCAGGTAATGCCTATACTCTTATCTCTCAAAGAAAGTATGTGTTTTATTTAGTTTAACAAACTTAGAATATAATGGTCGCGTTGTTGTTTATTGATCCAGATTTGGAGTCTCAAACCGGGATGGGGAAGCAGACCAGATATATATGTTGGGAAAGCACACACGGATGATATCACCTCTGTTAAGTTCTCTAGCGATGGGAGAATTCTCTTGTCTAGAAGTTTTGATGGTTCTCTAAAGGTAAACCTTAAATCATACCCTCTCTTTATCTACCAGTTTCCTCAGAGCTATATCAACTGAACTCTTTCTTGATCAGGTGTGGGACTTGCGGCAGATGAAAGAAGCTCTAAAGGCTTTTGACGGTCTCCCTAACTATTATCCTCAAACCAACGTTGCCTTTAGTCCAGATGAACAGATCATCCTGACTGGAACATCCATTGAGAAGGACAGTACAACAGGAGGCCTGCTCTGCTTTTACGACCGGACCAAACTAGAGATTGTCCAAAAAGTCGGAATATCACCAACGTGCAGCGTGGTGCAATGCGCTTGGCACCCGAGGTTGAATCAGGTAAACAACAACAACAATACTCCGTTCCTCTGAACTCTATTTTTGCGACTTCACTTTAATAGAGATTTATATATTGTCTGTAGATATTTGCAACATCTGGAGACAAAAGCCAAGGAGGAACTCACATTCTTTATGACCCAACTCAGAGCGAGAGAGGGGCATGTGTCTGCGTTGCACGTGCACCTAGGAAGAAATCTGTAGACGATTACCAACCAGAACCAGTAATACACAATCCTCATGCATTACCGTTGTTCAGAGACGCACCAAGCCGTAAAAGACAAAGGGAGAAAACATTGAAGGATCCTCTTAAAGCCCATAAGCCTGAGATTCCCATGACTGGTCCTGGTCATGGTGGAAGAGTTGGGACCACTGGTAGCAGCTTACTAACGCAGTATCTTCTCAAGGTAAAGGCTCTTTCGGTATCTTCTTCAAGTTTTCTGACTAATGATTATTATACATTGAAACTCTTTCGTGTGTGTGTGTGTGTTTGCAGCAAGGTGGGATGATAAAAGAGACGTGGATGGAGGAAGATCCAAGAGAAGCGATATTGAAATACGCAGAGGTTGCTGTGAAAGATCCAAAGTTTATTGCACCTGCTTACTCTCAGACCCAGCCGGAGACCATTTTCGCTAAATCCGATGATGAAGAGGAAGAGGGTGACGTCAAAAAATAACAAGAGTGCTTCTAAGATACTTCACTTTTCTCTCAACGACCAATTCCTTGTACTATGTATAATGATCATATACGTTGTCTAAAAAGATATGTCATGTCACTTTAGAATAACGGAAACATTCATATGGGAGTTGCGTTTTCGGTGTTTTAACGAATTTTGCAATGTATCCACCATCTAGATGCTGTGTTCAAAAAAAAAAAAAAAAAAAATCCACCATCTAGATGCAAAAACGAAATTACAACCGCAATCCAAGACATACGATGTCTATATACAAAGAATCAAAGTAAGCGAACACTATTGTTCTCTTGTGAGAAATTATTATGAAACAACAAATCAAACACTTGAAATAAGCAAAAGGGTTCAAGTGTTCTTTACAACTTTTGACAAACAAAAAGGCCCCTATTGAGCGTTGATTAATTTACAAGAGCAAGAAACAAGTTTGGTTTGTTAATGATACAAGGACCAGACGAGCTAAGTATGTCTCTGTTCTTTTTCTTTTGTTGGTTTCTTACTTTTCTTCTACTCCACTCCAGTAAACTCTGAGTAAAGACATTTGTATACATCACCGGTAAAAGTCTTCCCAGTGTTAAAAGGGTGGTTAAAGCTTCCCTCTTTTGCTTCTTCATATGATTTTGACTTTGGTTGGTTTCTTCAGTTTGTATAAGTATAAGATGATGACAAAAAATGAGCTTTAGAGACCCCCGTTCTCGAAGCTCGATAGCCGTGAGTCTGATAGAACGCTAAACAGTTGTGTGTCTACAAATAACTACAAAACCCACAACGAAACTTGTAAGCCTCTTGATTCGATTTAAAATATCCGGAACTCAAGCCAAGATCAGGATTAGCATTTTGTACCTTAATGAAGGGTCGGTCTCTACCAGAAAATGAATCGATAAAACTGTCCTTTAGAAGTAGAGAAACCTGAGATAAAAAGATTTATATATAGTTATTGAGCGATGAGAGTGGAAGTAGTTATTGTCACACGCTTTGAGAAGAGTCACTATATAAGTAAGTACCCTGTCGCTATTGGATTGAACACTTGTTATGGTGTGAGAGTGTAAATCTGAGCAAAGAGACTCCATGTAATCTCTCATTACTCCCAAGAACTTAGTCGCAGCTTCTGCCTGCAGAACATTCGGTCATATGAAACCGGGTCACGTAAAATACAAGTATGGGCCGACCCATGCATTGGTAACAACTTACTTGTACTTCATTGCATTTATAAACGGGATGTCTTCTAGCAGTCGAGCTATGATGAGCCAATGTGGCATGGATTGGAGTCAACTGAGCCATGAGTTCTCTACGCTGAGGCAATGCTGGCATATTACATATTTTCACCTGAAGAAACACAGTTAACGTTACATGCTACTTTGAGAATTGCCGATCTATTGGTTTTGGTTACTTGTGACAGAAAGAAATAATAGACTTTCATGAGAAGGCCACCAAACCTGATTATTGATGATGTTAACTAGAATAAGATTCGACGTCTTCACCTTCCAATCAGTAGGTTTACTGTGTATACCGACCTACCAAGTGGCGTAAACGCAGACAGTGTGAACAACAAGAAACATAAAGTTCATGAATTAGCATCCAACAACATCCGCTAGACTGATAAGTGATCATCTAGCTAGTAAAGACACGTCATGAGTTACTTCATATGAAAAAAATATAAACTTACAAGGAATGGAACGGGCGCCTCGAGGAAATCAAACATCCTTCCGGGAAGAACCTGAAGACAACAACAACATAGATAAATTACGACAAGAAAACTCCCATTTTATTTGGTCCATTGTTTTTGTCTAGTGATGTCATACTTACCGGAAGCAATAAACTCTGCCACTGAAACGGCCGAATCATTGAGACAAGAGACAGTACTATTGCTGACAAAACACCCTGCATACAGTAGTAAGCTGTTAGTCCAAGTGACAATTTCCATCTACATCTTCCCAAGGAGCTGAATATGAATAAAAGGATTAGAAGACAGATTTAACTAACCAGATTTGGGCAGATTACCACAATTTGCTTTTCTAACAAAACTCCAGCAACGAGTGACATAATCTGGAAGAAAGAAAATACTTTGTAACTTCAGATATTTTCTTCTTTATAAAAACACTAACTCAAGGCACAAAGAAGAGATGGACACTGCATCCAACGCAATAATGAATAGGATTTTAACGACATGTTGGTTCCAGAGTCGACACTAAATCAAAAGAAAAAAAAAGGAAGCCTTACAGTTTCAAGAGATAGAATCCGACAAACTGTTGCCGTTGTCCACATTGAGAGACCCATTGCTTCCTCGGCAGCTGCCAACCTCGCATTTATCTTTGACAAAAAGTTTTAAATGAGATGAGATTACAAATTAGAGGCAAGACTAGAAAATGATAATTTCTGATAATAAAGTATATACCTCAGAAGAATCAGAAGGGTAGATAAATTCTTCTGACAATCCTAGAGCTGAAACAGGAGGTCGTGTATACGCAATGGATTGTAAATGTTCCAGCGGCTGGAACACTACTTCACTTCCACGGGAAGGAATTGCCAATGAATGGTACCCGCAGATTAATTGTAAAGCATCATTGTTATGTTCCTATCAAGGTGAGATAACCATATAACAGTATATGAGAACAATGAACATGAGATAAGTGACCCCCTGAACCTACTAGTAATATCCTTACCTTAGCCCATTCTAGAATTAAATCATCTCCGAAATCATTTTCGCTGTTCGATACATCATCAACCTCATCTGACAACGCACTTCTAGCTGGACTGCCATATGTAAAAAAGGTAAATTTGAAATTATACTGGTCACGAACTGAATCATTAACATTACTTGGAAAAAAAGTTCTTAGAGCTAAGTGGTTAGATCAAATTTGCTGGATAGTGATTGTGTTAAACTTACCTAAACACGGACTCGCAGCTTTCAAAACGCTCTAACGGTTGGATCCTAGGATCAGTACATGTAACCTCTGGAGAAGCGTGGCCGTTCCCAAAGCTTTGGGACGTTCTTTCGGGAGTATTCAAGTGGTTCTCAAATACTTCAGAAGAATCATCATCGTAACAATGGAACACTTTTCTCCCATCTCTTTCTATTTCCTTGATCTGACTTGCATCTGAAGTATCACCAGTGACAACACTATCTGGAGACTGCGGTTCTGCAAAGCTCGCAATGTCACTATCAGTTATCAATCCCGCAGCAGCGGCCGTGAGTGCCATGACACCATCAACAGGTATAGCAGAAGCCATCCAATCACCAGGGTGGCTACGAGGTGAAGAAACACAGCTATTTATTCTGGACATTGATGGACTATGGCATGCAGCAGCAAGAGACATCTCACTAACAAATTCGGTTATCCGTTTTAGACGCTCCTGTGCAATCATACTGCATCAACAAGTAAAACACCCACAGTTTTTCAAGTTCTTGGATCTCTAATCATTGCAAGGAATAGCCACTATTAAAGAGTAGGGGCATCTTTTGTACCTGTTTAACATCTCAAAGTGTAGCTCAAAAAAAGGAACTCTGGTCAGCAAGCAATAGCATCGAGGTGCAGAAACCAAATAACGACTGCCTCCTCCAGATGAATGCAAGGGAGACGCAGTGCTTAAAACACCAGGGGGTCTCTGAACAATCTCCGGGACATGTAAACAAACACCATACAATGTCGCATCATCTGCTACCTGACAAATAGAATTTTGAGAGCTCCATGTAAGTTTTTACATGGCTAGTAGAGGTCTGACACTAAAACAGTCACGGGGCATGACGAAAAGATAGATTACCTTGAACGAAAATATGAACGATGAGTCATCTGTGCCTAGATGTTCCTGCAGTAAACTCAAATAAATCATGGTATATTCTAATACAGAAGCTCAGAGAGAAACTTCATTAAGAAATTTTCAAACCTGTCCATACACAAGCTCATTTAGATCACTGAGAGATGGGGTCCTCTCCAAAAGGCGTGCCTGTTAAGAAAAAGGATGACAGTCTCAGTAGCTGCGTAAATTTTCTAACTAAGTGAGACGGCTCATTACTAGTAATATATACCAAAGCACATTGACGGTCATTGAATAAAATATAAAAGAGACGCAGATCATAACATATTATATACCTTGACGCCACCAGGAAAGCAGAAAGCTGCTAGATCTTTTGGACGCATCGCCACCTTCTTCCCAGGGGGGTATTTAAAAAGTATCTGTGCATCAAATAAAAGTTGACATAGAAAAGAAATAAATGCCATGAAGCACAACAGATGCATCTAGAAAGAAAAACGGCAAGCAAGAACGCATTAAACAAGAAATAAAATTAGACAATGAGACAAAAATACCAAGAACTATGAGAACGGAAAGTAAACAACCATCGTAAGCACAAACCTGTGGCTGCAATATTGGAAACTGAGGCCCGCGGTGACGGAGTATTCTGTAGTCAGCCACTTCATACCTTGACATCTCCATCTCCCATTTCTTCCTTCTACGAAAGGCCTCCTCAACTGGCTTCAAATCAGTTTCCGGATGCAGCCCCACAATGATAAAATGTTCAAATAGCGACGTTGGCTCCTTATATTTTGTTTGGTCCTAGAGTGTTTACCAATAAAAGCATTAGTCAGCAGACCAGAAGTTTTTAGACGATTAAGGGGAAGAGGAACTACGTAGCCAAAAAAATGTTTCAAAGGTTTGATAGAACACCCTAGAGAGAGATTAAATACCAGAGCTTTTGAAGAGTGGAGCTGGTACCACTGTCTTTTTTGGTTTGCTAAGACCTCAGGATTGAAAGTGGGCCGATTATCCTCACGGAGATTGCTGACCCCACGCCAAGCCTTCTGCATAGATGTTTTCAATTTCTGGAAACTGTTTGTGCGCCTGTGTCCTGGAGTCCCTATCTCACTTTGCGCGCGCCTATGTCCTTGTGATGGTGACTGTGGTAACACTGGTCCACTGAAGTATACGTTTTGAGATGTCTCTCCAGCTGATTTAACTGCATCAGGTGTACACGAGGGAGAGTCTTGCTCTCCTGTAACTTCTATCATTTCCATCTTTCTAACAACTGTGTTATCAACTTGCGTCTGCGGTGGTTCATCATCCTTTTGCCTCAGCATCAAACTCGAATTATCTTCACCGTCCTTTCCCAAATCCCTGTTCTCACAACTGTTACATGTTCCTGTATCTTCTTCAGTTCCACCCACATTCATATGACCATCTGCCACATCTGTATCCAGTTCTTTAGTCTCTCTACTAAGAGTATTCAGGCCATCTTTCATGTCATCCCTCTCCGATGAACCTGAAGCAGACTCTTCATTATCCCTTGATTTTTCATCTCTCTCCAAGACAACTTGTTCAACGTCCCTGTTTACCCTTTCTGAAGGATCATACTGCTTAAGAGACTCATCTCCATCTTCTCTCTTAACGCTCTCAGATGAGCACCACCCAGCTTCTTTATCACTGCTAGCTTTCAAACTGACATGTTTATCTTCTTCCAACGCGTCTACTTTGGGATAAGAGCTACCATATTTCTCCTGTGAATTCCCTTCTCCATCCTTGGTTTCAAGATCATCTCTTTCCACCACAACCTGTCCTTGACCATCTTCATTCCTCCCTACTTCTTCTCTACTTATCAATGTCCTCTCCTGCACCATGTCCAAACTATTCTGCTCATTTTCTACTTCATCTCTAATAGAAGATCTCAATCCATCTCCATCCCTAAAGGCCTCACTTTTACATTTAGCTTCCACATCCATCTTCTTGGGGTATCTTAAAAAATCATCACTATTCCCATCTCCACGGTGAATTGCTAACACGTCTCCCTGCATATCCCTATTAAAACCTACCTTTATGCAGCACGTGTGCCTCAAACAACATCAGCAGAATCAATAATAACCCTCAAAACTTCTGCTAAAAAAAAAAGAAAAAAACAATAACATCAACAAACTAGGAAGCAAGAGTTTCCATCAAAAATGAATATCAGCAACAACACGAAGATGATCAACTCAACTTGCAAAAAAAAAAAAAAAAAACTCTAATAGAAGTTGAAGAATCTAAACGATTTCAAAAGCCGCCTGCTTTGGTGATTTCCATGTTTTTATTTATTTCTTAATTCATTAAACTTATTTTAATAACGAAACCCTATTTTTCCAATGAATTGAAAGCGAAAGGGATGGGAAAAAAAAAACGAGTACTAAGTAGGAGAAATTCAAGGTTCCAGCTACTAAACCTCGAGTCAAACGACGATGAACACAGCAACAAAGGATTCAGATTCAGTAAAAATTAAGAAGTAGATGATACCTTCAGCAAAATCAATGATCCTGCGGTTTTTTTTTAATCATGAAAATTTCAAACAAAAAAAGCCAAAAAGGAAAAAAAAACTTTGTAACGGAAGGTTGGGTAATGATTTATGGAGGGAACGAAATGAATGCGCGGCGTGAGGATTAGAGAGAGAGAAAAAGAAATTATCTGACAAACACACAAAAATAAAAAAGGAAAATGAATCTTTCTTCCTTTTGTGTCTGTGGGGGCGAAAAAGACAGGTAAATAAAAGTTTGTGGCTAAAAATAGAATTTTACGTAAAAGGGGAGGTTATACTTGATACCAGGAGAGAAGAACAATAGCTCAGGTTGCAACACATCTTCTCTTTTCTTTTCTACTCCCTTACGTTTTCTTTTAATAGGATTTTACCCCTTTACCATTTTCTTGTAGTGGTTCCACTATAAAACGTGGCCTTCATGTTATGAGCATACACCCAAAAATATTAATTATGAAAATTTTGACTTGTTTTATCTACTTATAACATAATAATTCAAATGCTCAGAAGACAAATCACATGCAATGGTCTTTAAACGGATGATTTAAAAACGTTCAATCAAATATTACTTTCTTACAGATTTTTAGTTAATACGTTTCATTCAAAATTTAGTTAAAATGCTTAGATATATATATATATATATATATATCTAATGATATTTGATGTTTTTTATTTAATATTGCATAGTTAGGAAATTTTCTAATTAAAATCATAGGTACAAAAAAAAATCATAGGTAAGAGTTTTTAATAATGGACATGTTAATATTTGCGGGGTAAAATCCAAAATATCACAAACCATTTTTTGGCGATATATATCAGTTTTGGAATTTGGACAAAGCTGAAATAATAAAAACTTGGTCAATAATTAATTAATGAAAACATAAAAGTTGAGGTGGTGGTAGCTTATAAACGTTGAAAAGTTGGATTGACTTTGAACGCGCTTTACCGAATCAAACGGTTGTGTTGTTGGTTTAGATGTCTCTCTCACGCGCCACAGTCTTCCTCCGTTCTCAGCCGTTGGATTTGGCTCTGACGAATTTCCCATTGACTTGGATAAAGAAAGAGCTTGAAAGTTGAAACAGTTTGCAATTTTAGTAAATCATATTTTAAAACTTTAGAGTGCAATAAACTTAACCAGAAGTAGTACGCTAAAAAATATAATAGAGATATATGGTGTAAAGTTGGATATAAACCAAACTGAAAGGAATGAATAAATTTAACATTACAACATTTTTTTTAGCCATGTGTCATCACCACAATCATTCTTAGAATCTTTAGAAAATATGTTGGTTCATCTAAATATACAATAAGTTTTTTATTAAACTAATCATAAATGACTTATTAATGTTTTTCATTATTTTTTTAAATAAAAATAACGAAATTACCAAATATGGTTAAATAATACTCCATCTGTGTCATTTGTTTGTCATTCTAGGTTTTTGCACACATATTAAGGAAATATTTAATTTTACATATTTCCAAGATAAAAACACAATTACCTATACACCTAACCACTTTTCAACCAATAGAAAAATAGAATATTATATAAAACTAATAAATTTTGTCTGGAAACTTTAAAACGACACTTAATTTGTGAAAAAAAAATAAGCCTAGAATTACATATATTTTGAAACGGAGGGAGTATATGACAATTAACGATTTTCAAAAATAAAGATCTGATAAAAATTAATGTATTTTTAAATTTTAACATATTAAAATAAATTAAACCACTACATTAACTATATAATAAAAGTTTTAGATTTTTTCGTATATATTATACTTTGAACTTTTTTAAAACGACTATAAATGACTAAATTAAGTTGTTACAAAATCTCACATTAGAATTTTTGTGATCCATGGTTAAATCATTACAAAATTATATAAGTAAGAATTCTCATCTAATATATATATATAGTAAATTAACGTTGATATCGGTTCAATGATAGTTTATACTCATATTTATTTTTTGTTCATTTTATATTTTTATAACAAAAATTTTAAATCCTTGATAATTTTTTTTGTGTGAGATGTTTAACATTTTTTAGTAATTTATAATTTTTAAAACATTATGCAAAGTTTAAACTAAATATTAAGTTGTCAATATTTGTTCAACATTTTTATCAAAAAAAATCAAAGCAAATTAGAAATTAAAATACATATATATTTTATATGGTACATATTTTATATGTCATATATTATTTAACCATATTTGGCAATTTCGTTATTTTTATTTAAAAAACAATGAAAAACATTATTAAGTCATTTATGATTAGTTTAATAAAAAGCTTATTGTATATTTGAATGGACCAACATATTTTCTAAAGGATTCTAAGAATGATTGTGGTGATGACACGTGGTTACAAGAAAATGTTGTAATGTTTTTCCTTTAATATATAAGGGATATGTTTTGACGACAGATTTAACATGTCCATTTTGAAATGAGTGATAGATCATAGATATAAACCTAATAATCATCTACATGTTTGCAGGCCAAGTTTTAAAATATTTACTTGAAATATTTGTATGGTACCCTCGTTTTATGGAACTCTAAAAATAAACATATGTCGATCTATTTATATGAAAATTGATGTTATTTTACTTTATAATGCTATTAACTTTAAATTATAAAACGCATTCTTTAAATAAGAGTTTAATAAATTGGAAAGAATGAATAAATATATATATGACCTCCAAAATCTGAGGATTGGCTCAGCACATAACATATCTTTGTGTTAAAAAGAAAACGAAAAAAGAAGTTCCGACATATCTCACATTTCTCATATCTTCATGTAGAAGTAAAAGATGCATAATTGGGGAGAACGTGCAGTAACGCGCTAAACGGTGCATATTACGGGGGAAGTGGTCAGGCATTATGATACCGTGAACGAGACCGAGGTCGCACATGCTCTTTGCCCACTACTTTTAGGCTTTTGGAAATTGTGCATCTTACAAATTAAGCATTACTATAATTTTTTTTTGATCAAAGTATTACTGTAATTAATAAGAGCTCCTTACATCAAAGCCCGAGGTCACCACATACTCGTGTAAGCATTGACTCGTCGTTGTAATGAAAAAAAAAAAGAGCCGAGTGAAACTCCTAAAATGTGTTCCATTGATTGGGCTGGATGGATTTAGGAGGAGATGAAGAAAACGTGTTGAGCCAGGCCCAAATAAAGGAAAAAGCATAATGACATATATACCCTTGATGCTCGAATTCACCTGTGACCGAGACCTATTGTTGATCAGTCGGTTAAGGAGGGCGTTGTAAGTTGTAACCTAACCTCACTCGATTTCGGCTCTCCTCCAAAACCAAACCCTAATAATTAAGTTCCCATTTTTTTTTTTTTGGCCTTCTTCTCGCCTTTCAAGAAAGTCAAGCCCTTTAATTTTACTCGTTGCACTTGTGCCAAAATCTGGTGTCCCTTACATGCTTTCATTCTTTTGGGGAAAATAGGTGATGGGTTCGGGAAATCACGAAGTTGTGGAGGTTAGTTCAGACGAGGAGGCCGACAACTTGGATTGGCTTAACGATTTGTCATCGGACAGCACCGATGTAGTCGAGGTGCTTTCTGAGATGAAAGGCAGCAGCGTTGATTCTCAGTTTCGGAAGAAGCCGCCCAATTCTTCGGTTCAGGCTTTGGAGGATGATGACGATTGTGTGATTCTGGATGGTGATCCCGACAAAAAGACAACCAAGACTTCCGCAATTGATGATGATGATGGTTATAAATTATCCAAGGATGACGATGATGATGATGATGAGGTGCTTGTAGTGGGGCAAAAGGGTGAGGTATTGAGTTAGAATCCACCTCCTCTCTTTCTTGCATCTCCTTCTTTAATTATTCTTTGTATATCGAAACTCGCCTGAAAGCTTGAGTCTTGTTTTTGTTTTTTTGTTTTTTAAAGCTAGAGACTTGTTGACTTATATGTCTTCCTTCCTTCTTACTCTGTATGTGTTAGCTTGTTTAGCTTATGAAGAATGGTAACTTCACGAGTATAAGAATTTGAATTCCTTCTTTCCTGTGAACAGATTTAGGATTAGAACTGTTCTTGTTTAGCAATCGAAAAGCTTTTCTGTTCAGCAATTAGGCTCACGAGACAGAAGAATTAAAAGCCATTCGTTTTTGGAATCTGTTTTGTTCAAAAACAAAATTCTTGTTTAGCTCATTGAACTGTATATTAATAAGTAGACGTCTCATTGAACTGTTTATTTTATTTTATTTGTGCCATGTTCATGCAGGTGTGTGTGTTGTATATACTAAGTGTTCCCCTAATATCAAAAGATAAAATATTTGTTTTTGTAGATAGCGTGTAGAGATTTCCCTCATCCTAGACATTCGTGTGCTAAATACTCGTTCGACTCAACATCACATGAGAAATACTGCGACATGGTAACCATCTTTAAAGTTTCTCTAATACTCCAATGAGCTTTAATGGATTCTTTCTCTTCCCTGCTAATCCTTCTTTTTTTTATGTCTTCCTTTCTGCTTTGAAGTGTCACTGTTATGTGTGTGACATTCCTGCTCCTTGTTCGTACTGGTGTATTGATGCTGGAAGTATAGATCACTGTCATGCTAACGACAAAGAGAAGATATGGAGGAACCAACGAGAGTACTTTAGGACAGGAATCATGCCCACCCAACCATCTGCAAAACCCCCACAAGCTTCTGCGACCCGCCAGATTTCACCATCTCCTCCAATTCCAAATATCATCAGGTTATCCCAAAACACTTTGCCAGGGAAAATGGGTGAGATCCGGCCTTGCTCATCATCGTCATCCACCCGTGTCACTGCTAATCTTTCAGACCTCAGAGCCAGGCATAGAATGTGGCAATCAGCTAGTGGGTTGCATTCATTGACCAGTACTCGCAACAACGTCATCCGAAAGGGTAATAACTTGAGGTCCCGAGTGGCCTCTTCAGGAACTCGGAATAGTGCAGCAAATGGCAACAACATCAAAGTGGGTCTGGGTCTACATGCCAATGCTAATGTTTCACATATCTCTTCCGTGGTGCCACCACCAACAGTAACCGCAGAAATGTACGCTCAACAACAACTCAGATCTCACCTTAATGTCCCTGGTTATCGTGCAGCAGTGACCGGGTCTCAGAGCAATGTTTACACTCAACGTTCAGGCAAGAGCAAAAGTGTCGGTGGAAGGCGTCAGTTTCAGGTGAATGCAGGTCTGTTTACACTACCTGAAACTCCTCTGACCCCTGGGGTATCGCAAGCACAGACAGTTCAACCGCAACCACCGGGAAGTAATGAAAACGTCTTGCAGACCAAATTGTCTGAAGTTGAGAGCTGGCTTATGGACAGCTCTAACCAAGCCGGCTTGGTTAGCCCGTTTCCTGAACCTATAGGTGAAGACAATACGAGTCCGTTGACATTCGATTTTGAAACCTTCTTGAATGATTGAAACAGTTTGTTAAGAAACCAGCTCTCCTGACTAGATTGTATGAATTGTAGAGTGAGCTTAGATACTTGAATCATAATGGTGTATATAAATTTATTAGTTCTTACTATTTTAAATGTGTCGCAAATATGAAATTATTACTGTCTAGCGAAGTACAAATGGTGGAAGAGAGGATTGATTAAGTGAAGCCATAGCTGACGATAATGTTCTAAATGGTTAGGCGACAGTTCTTCTCTTCTTATCAATTCAATTTTCTTAAAATCTGTTTAAACTAGTTTTCTAAAACTGTTGTAATCGGTTTAAATTAGTATAAACTAGGTGTTTTGCCCGCACATGCGGGCATAATTTTCGTACAATTTATTATTAGTCTATATTTATTAATTCAAACCAATATAATAAATTATTATTTATGTTTTTAAATTAATTATAAATGAAAACACTCACATAACAAAATTTTTTACAAATGTAACGCGTTAATTTATTTTAATTATATTTTTTCTATCTTAATTTTTTATTTCTATAATAAAAAATATATTTTCAAGATAAAAATATAATACATAAGAAGTATCTTATTTTCTGAAAATATAATTTTTAATAAAAATTCGATTTTATTTTATAATAAATTTTATATGAAATTATTAAAAATATGACAAATAATCTAAATTATCTAAACCATGAAGAAATTACAAATTAGATAATTCACTTAAATTTTCTAATAGAAAATATATGTTTAAGATAACAATCTTTAAGAATTATCTTTTCTTTTTTAAAAATCTAGTATTATTATATACATTCGTTTTATTATTTAAAAATTATATATGAAATTATTAAAATATGATAAATAAGCAAAGTATAAAACCATGGAGAAGTTGATAAATCAGCATTGCTTTCTTTATATTTAGCTATTAATATTTTAACTTAATTTTTAATTTCTATGATAAAAAAATATACTTTAAAGATAGCAATATAATACATAAGATTTATCTTATTTTGTAAAATATAATATTATTAATAGAAATTCATTTTTGTTAAATAATAAATTGTATATGAAATTATTTAAATAATATAAATAAACAAATTTAGCTAAAATCAAGGAGAACATGACAACTAAGCAAATTTACTTCTTAAATAAATAGTTTTCGTACAATTTATTATTAGTCTATATTTTATTAATTCAAACCAATATAATAAATTATGATTTATGTTTTAAAATTAATTATAAATGAAAACACTCACATAACAAAATATTTTTACAAATGTGTTGCTTTAATTTATTTTAATTATATTTTTTTCTATCTTAATGTTTTATTTCTATAATAAAAATATATTTTCAAGATAACACTATAATACATAAGAAGTATCTTATTTTCTGAAAATATAATTTTTAATAAAAATTCGATTTTATTTTATAATAAATTTTATATGAAATTATTAAAAATATGACAAATAATCTAAATTATCTAAATCATGGAGAAATTACAAATTAGATAATTCACTTAAATTTTCTAATAGAAAATATATGTTTAAGATAACAATCTATAAGAATTATCTTTTTTTTTTAAAAAAAATCTAGTATTATTATATACATTCTTTTTATTATTTAATAAATTATATATGAAATTATTAAAGTATAATAAATAAGCAAAGTATAAAACCATGGTGAAGTTGATAAATCAACATCGCTTTCTTTATATTTAGCTATTAATATTGTAACTTAATTTTTAATTTTTATGATAAAAAAATATATTTTAAAGATAGCAATATAATACATAAGAATAATCTTATTTTTTAAAAGTATAATATTATTAATAGAAATTCGTTTTTTATTAAATAATAAATTCTATATGAAATTATTTAAATAAGATAAATAAACAAATTTAGCTAAAATCAAGGAGAACATGACAACTAAGCAAATTTACTTCTTAAATAATAATATAGATGTATTAAATTAAGTAATAATATTAGTAAGAATTACAAACTTCTGTAGTTTATTTTATTTTGTATATCTAATTTTGCTTGTGTTTCAAAAGAAATTGCTAATTAATTAAAATAAATTATAATTAAACTAAAAGAACTAAAATAATTGATATAAATCTCTATAATATTATTTGAGAAGTCACTTTCATAGGTGTCGCGCCCACGTTAACTCTCACGCTGGTTGATTACTATGATACCCCTAATAAATTAAAAATATATTTAAATATTATTATTTCCTTTTTAAAATCTTCCAAATAACAATATAAAACAAAAAGGAAATATTTCTAAAATTTACAAAACTATTTAAAAACGCAAAATAAGTATATATATAATATGGTTTCATTAAAAAGGAAAGTTTACAAAATAATAATATTTAACTTAAATATATTTTTAAATAACATAAATTATACTTTTTAAGTAATTATACTTTATATCTATATCTTCTTAGATAAAAAAAATATTTGTATATAATGTGTTTTCATAAAAAAATTTCATACAAATAATCTTGATATTAGAAAAAGAAATTTTTTTCTTTAAAAAAATAATTTAAACAATTAAATATATATTTTCAAAGTAATTAGTTTTTGTATATATCTGTCTATTTTTTTAGATGATTACATAAAATAATTAAGTAACATAAACTGATATAAGTTTAATTGACAAAAAAATATAATTAGTATATTTATTTGATTATAATATCTTACCGTTACAGCAAAAAATATAAATTATATTTTACTTATATAATATAATTTCTCAAAAACAATCACATTTTTACTGCATATTTTTAAGAGATATGAAAAACAAAACTAAAAATAAATTTAATGGTAAACATCTTTTGATCAGATAACTACAATTCTTTTAAAATATCATAACACTATATAATTTAACGAGGTAGATATATTATATTTTAATAGTTAAAATTATATGTTTTCTTAATAACTCTTTTGATGTTTAATCTTCTGTTTTTATGTTTGTGGAATTTAATATAACCATAATCAAAATACTTAAGAAAATTATAATTCTTTATTTTAAAAATTATTTAAAATAAATTTCAGTTTACCATCCAATCAATCTAAGGCATAAATTATTTAAAATTTCTAAAATATTTAATTATTGTAAATATTGATATGTTTTCATAAGCTTCTGAAAATTTATT